TTAGAGTATGGAATATAAGTTTTGAAGATTTACATATTTAATATAAGTCCTAGATGTAAAATACTGAAAATAATATTTCTGCTTTAATCCCAATATGTTAAGAAAAATTCATTGGCACAAATATCTGGAGGTATTTTACAGTTTCATTTAGCCTTTGGTGGCAAAGCATGTTTTGCTAACCATACGGATATAGTTATATTTTTCAATGTAGTGTTTTACGCTCAAAAAAATTCAAATGTGTTTTTTTCCTGTAAAAGGGATGCAAAAAGTCCAATATGAAACAAGTACAACATGAAATACAAAATATGCCTATAATTTAGGCTTTTGAATAGTTAATAGTTCTATGCTTTGTCTATAAATCTTTTACTGGTGCTAGTAATATTACCACTATACAAATACTAAAAGCAAAAATAACATTGAAAAATAGCACACGAACTTTACAAAAGTGGCTAATTTTTAGACTTCCTAAATTAAGATTAAATTCAAATATGCAAACAAATTTACACTGTTTTTTACGAGTGTTCAAAGTTACAAGGTACAGAATCATTACAGAATAATTCTGACTCATACATATCAGGTTCTATACAAAATCGTCAGAAATTGGTTACTTGGCATTTCAAACCATAGTCATTTTTGACAGCATAACATGCCAAAACAAACACTTTTAGAAAGTCCTGTACTTGACTCAGAATCTTCAACTACAGACAATGTAATCAAGATGTACGTTAGAATATCATCTAACTTTTGAAAGACATTATTGATTCAGGTGTACTGTTACGTTTATACTATTAATATAACAAGTTAGTCTATTCTCACTATTTCCAAACTTCATTCTGTTCTAAAACTGTTATTAATATACAAAATCCAGTCTTCTATATTCATAATATAACATCACAAAATTGTGAATTCTTGAGCATTTACAGTACACATATTCAGATTTGGATTATTGGCCTGACTTTTCTTTCCTATCATCATTATTAAACGTAAAGGACATAAATAGCCTCCCAGACTTCCTATTTTCTCAGGCTGTTGAAACTTACTGTGAAAAAATGCATGAGTAATATGTAAAAAAAGAAGTCCATTACAGACTTGGTAATGTTGTCCCCTCTGTTCAACAAGAGTGAGATGAAATTTCAGCTCCAAATCATCTGTTTTATAAAAGTACCTTCTACATTTACATTGGGAGGCAAGGAAGCTTTCTGTCAGGGTCTAATTTAGTAATATAAAGATATCCTTTTTTTTTTTAAAGATTTTATTTTTAAGTAATCTCCACACCCAATGTGGGGCTCAAACTCACAACCCTGAGATCAAGAGTTGCACGCTCCACTATCTGAGACCGCGAGGCGCCCTGCATAACACAAAGATACTTTTATTACTTCCTGGAAGTGTGTCATGCTCTCCCCGAATTGACTTCCCCCTGAAAAACTGCACAAGGTATCTAGTTTCCTAGGATAGTAACACTGAAAAAAAAATGATGAAAAATAATCAACAGATGCCTCATCATGAAAAGTTGCAACACACTAAAAATTTTTTTCCCAACTGATTTTAATAACAGGTTCCTAAAATTGCAAATGCAGCAAGGTAAAGTTTTGCACTAAACCTCCTAATAAGCAAGCTGTTACACTCAGACCTAATGCCCAAGATGAAAATACAGGTCAAATTAATTATCCTGGGATTCAGGAATCAATTCCTCCCATTTTCCCTACAGCTTTCTAGAACTAAACTGAAAATCAGTTTTATCTCCTTTTATTTCCCCTGGCCACTAGTGTAAGAGGTGCTAATGAGCAGTGAGGTGATATAAATATACTGTGTTATGAATGACAAGTCTGAAGCATTAAGAAAAGTGTAAAACTAGAGAATGAACAAATTAGATAATCTGCCTTTATTAAGTATGTGTGTGTGTGTGTGGTGGAAACGTGTACCATCTGTACAAGTGATAGGAAAATCAACAACAAACAAATTTACTAGGCCTAGTATATAGCTCTTTATTTTTCTTTACTGTATAATCATGTAGATTGTAGTGTAGTTCAATCAAGAAAAGGTATTCCATTATATACATGTGAATTTATCTGACCAAAATATGAAATAAAAAAATTAACGACTAATCAATACATGATCTATATATACTGAAGAGACTAAAAATCAATGTGAATGAGGCACACATGGTTTTTTAGGACCACTGTTCTAAATATTTTCATTCTGGTGACAACCAAGAAGAGTTAGCAGAACCTGTTTAATTTCTGGCAAAAGATCCAGAAAAAAGAGGTTAAAGTTTTCTATTGTATTATCAGTTCCAAGTTATAATAGTAACTCCAACTGAGGCTTTAGAAACACTGAAATTACTCAGTATTTTTACTATTCGGTCTATATGTTTGATGCAGTTATCAATGATAGGGTCCAAGAGTAATTTTTATAAGCACAAAACTTACTCAAAACTCAAATTCTAAATAAAAATGTTATAGTACTAGAGCTCAGAAGTTTGCCGAATTGGACACACTGTAACTGCCAATAAACAGCTTCATTTTTAGTAACAGTGCTAATAAAGCTGTGCTGTTTTACTAGCTAATAAAATAAGCTGCAAGCATGATAGGAGCAATGTATAATTGAGAGGCAAAAGGACCTTCATTTTCTCAAGTGACAGAAACATCAATTTCCCTAATCTTCAGACAGAGCCTACCTTCTCATCTCTGGTAGTTATTTGGGTTTAAAGTGCATCAGGATTTGATAAAGACTCTGTCAAAATGTGTGTGTGTGTGTGCGTGCGCACATGCGTGTGTGTATCTGTATATATATGTACCCATAATGGCTAAAGACCCAACCTGTTGTTTATAAAATGTTTAATTAGAATCCTTTTTATAGCCCTAAAATGAAATATTCTGTTAGAATAAATAAGACTTTAGGACTTGATAACTACACTTACATGGAAATTGTCTAGTGAGATACAATATGCCTAGTCTGCTGCTTTAAAAAGCTAATCTCCTACTCACAAATGAGAAATTTAAGCTTGTTATATTTTAGTCATGAACGGTCCTGACTGAACAAGAAGACTTTATATCATGTAAACACCATGATTATGGCTGTCAATAGAAGATCCAAATTAATGAATTTTCTAAAGTTCTTTCTGTATATAAATATGTTTAAATTCAGAAATAGTTAAATGACACAATTAACCTATAACTTGAAATACATCAGTGAAAAAAACAAAGATACAATGTACATAAACTTATGGGTATATGAACAGATAAACATGGGCACATGTGTCCTTATTTAAATATACATGTGGTATGCCACGGGACATCTTTCCTTTCAGGTACTGAACAAACAAGCATTTTGCATTTTATCCCTTTGCTACCTCTCTCAAATCAACAAGAACCTGAAATATTTGCCATGTCTTACTATGAGATTATCACTTCCTTTTAATGATCTTCGTAAGTGAAAATATAAATACTGAACAACAGGCATGAGGCTGGGAGAAACAACGGAATCAAACAAATTTACAAACCCTCACAGATGACACTGAAACCTCAAATGATGCCAAAACAGCAAGGACCTGAGGAATAACTGAGAAGAGAAGTGAGGTAACCCTCCACAGGCAGTAACAGCTGAGAGACCGTAATGGAATCCAGATGCAAGAGCCGATAAAAAGAATCTGGTACTCTAGGACATTCCTGGGTACTAACAAAGACACAAGTTCGCAGGTACTACTGGGAGTTAAGGGCTTTACTTAAAAAGGTTTTGGGTATGTAGAGCATATACATCTAAAGGAAAGGCTCCATGAGCCAAGTACACCTCAGCCTGAGTTTATTCTATCTTAAGGCAAAATACTTAGCTCTATTACCTACTCTTTTGTAGTTAAAAGTGAGCTGAAGTCTGAAATGAAAGAAATATTACTTTCTTTTCTGTGAAACAGTAATCATCTTGGCAAATTAAGATTCCATTGTTAAAACTAGTGGCTAAAACCTCCAATCTATTTAAGTATATTGTTTATACATTACGCTATTAATGGAGTAGTGGTTATTCCGTTAATAGTATAATTTTATTTATCAAATGTGGTACAGCACTTAATCGTGCTTTTTCTCTACAGTAGACAAAACTTGTGCAAACCTGGAGTTTTTTCTGACCACTGGAATTTAGTTATGTTAACAATCCACCATAATCTGAGGCACTTTTGGCAACCATGGGGTCAATGAATTAAATAAAATGGCATATGCTGGACAACTGTACTGCTCCAATGCTAGTAAGTAAATATTTGGGAGAATTCTCTTTAAATTTAACAACAGATTTCTTTAATAGTCTCCTGATGTTTACCAAGAGTACAAAATAAGATCTGCATTTGAAAAGCAGCAAGAAAATTTCATTGAATTTTGAGTTTAAATTATGTTAATTAATCTTGCATTGGTTACCAAAAAAACATGTCTCCTTAAAATTAAAAGTTGTATTTTCATAGATGTAAGAAAACAAAAGATATGCCTTGATCACTGTGGCTGCCAAAAACTGACCAAAGACTTTTTGTGGTTATTTCATTTTTGGGAAACCAAACAGTTGTGAATTTCATCAATCTTTTAAGACTGATTTCTCAATATGCATACTGTAGCAAATACAAAGCAATCTACTTTTCAGAAGAAAGTTTGATGAAATGAGCAGAATGCTTGAGTTGAGATTACAAGCAATGCTACATTTACTCAGTGTTTAGAAGATCCCCAGTATGGCCAATCAAGCAGAATAGCTGCTATGCAGAGAAGTCCTCAAAAACAGTGGCCACCATATCCTTTTACTAATTTTTCAAAAATGACTAGTACTTAGATGCCATACCACAAAACTAAACCATGCTTCAACTATTTTCCTCAAGCATTATAAAACTAATTTCCTATTTTCAATATTGTAAAAATAGACCTGTCTTCTCCAAAGGATCTTGTCATCCACATTCATGGATGTGTGCATTCCCTCTTAACACTGACTCTAATGATATAAATTATTTTTATCATTCCTTAAATCCAGTCTTACATAAAGTTACATAACGCATGGAGTAAAAGAGGAATGAAAACAAAGCATGGAACCCTGTATAAGTGTGCTGACCCAAAAGCAATTACACCAACAGCCAGAGGAAGTGGAAATTGTGAAGTAGTCTTCAACAATTTACTGTAAAGAGACAGAGAAATATATATTATGCAAACAACATTGTAGGCAAAACCAGAATATGCTGATATTTTATACAGTTCTGAGAAAGTATTCTAAATGGTATTAGATGGTGTAATTTTTCATATAATGAATTTAACCATACGTAATTTTTAAAAAGATCAATACAAGCTATATTCTAGCCAGAGAAAAATACTAGCTGAACTTTTATTCACCAATTCTACCTCTAAAAATTTACCCTTACAAAAATAATATTTACTAAGACATACCTATAGAAATATTTATTTTAACCCTACTTGCAATAGCAAACAAAACAAAAAGCCTCAACCAAATAAAAAGGGAATGATCCTTAATTACTAACAGGAACAGTATTAACATGACACCAAATCTTATTAAAAGAAAAATACAGAAAAGACTATTACTTTTTTATTCTGAAAACAAAAAACTGGGATAGGAGGGGTTAAAGAAATTTGTCTAAGGACATAGGGCTATTAAATGGCAGGCCAAGATTTAAACCCCAGGTCTGCCTTATTTTACAATGCCTACAAACATCTGCCAGAATCAACTGAAAACAGGCTCGTAGAGGAAACAACCAGGCAATGAAAACTCAAATTTTATTATGGAGAACTTTAAACATATGTATTAGTGAACTACTAATAGTATAATGAACCTCATGTACCCATCACCCAACTTCAAAAAGTATCAAGTGATGGCCAATCTTACTTCACCTATAATCCTATCCACTTCACTCCTTCTGTACTTTTTTTTAAGTTTGTTTATTTATTTACTTACTTACTTACTTACTTACTTACTTACTTACTTATTTATTTATTTATTTATTTATTTATTTATTTATTTATTTATTTATTTTAAGAGAGAGAGTGAGCATAGGAGGAGTAAAGAGAGAAGGAACAAGGGAGAATCCCAAGCAGTCTCCATGCTGTCAGTGTGGAGCCTGACGTGGGGCTTGAACTGGTGAGATCATGATTGTGCCAAAATCAAGACTAAGTCACTCAACTGACGGAGCCACCCAGGTGGCCCTCCTTCCGTACTTTTTGGAAACAAATCTTATTTGACATCATATATTTTAAGGGCTAAATTAAAAAAAAAATCATTATATCCTAACAAGTAAACCTGATAATTAAGAAAACAAATATAGTACTTGCATATAAACTACATCTGCATACAAACCATAATTACTCTACAGTTATAGCTTTAACTTTAGGAACAGTCAAAATAATTAGAAATAAAGAACATGTTTCAGGCATCAAAGAAAGAGTGATAAAGACTAGGAAGAGATGTAAGAAAAAGAAAGATTGAACTACTATACCTGGATTTTATTGAAACGGTGTGAGTATTTCCAAGAATTGCCATAGTTGGAATAAGGATAAATGCCAAAGGTTTACACGGATCAGGACTAAGTTTAAAGTAATACCTACATCAAAGAGAAAAAACAAAAACAAATCAACAAAGTATACTCAATCATTTTAAATTATCAGATTCAAACAAGTTAATTAAATTTCATAATACTGCATTGATATGAGAGCTCTAAACAGCTCATGAAATTTTTGATAAATAATTTTTGCTATAGATCATCTTTATACCTAAGGCTTTATATTGAGAATTATGTTCAGAAACTACTAAGGGAAATGAAAATATCCAATATGGGAGCACTTCCTTTTATTTTATTTTTATAAAGTTTATTTATTTTGAGAGTGTGTACATGTGAGGGGGAGGGGCAGAGAGAGAGAGAGAGAAAGAGAGAGAGAGAGAGAGAGAGAGAGAGAGAGAGAGAGAGACAGAGTCCGTCCCAAGCAGGCTCTACACTGGCAGCATGGAGTCCAATACAGGGCTTGATCCCATGAGCAATGAGATCATGACCTGAGCTGAAATCAACTGACTGAGCCACCCACGGACCTCAGCACTTTTTTAATAATAGGTATAGGGGCACCTGGGTGTTTCAGTAGGTTGGGCGTTGACTCGGTTTCAGTCAGATCATGATCTCGCAGTTCCTAGGTTTGAGCCCCACTCTGGGCTCTGCACTGACAGTGTGAAGCCTGCTTCGGATCTTTCTCTCCCTCTCTCTCTGCCCCTCCCCTGCTCACTCACTCCATCTCTCTCAAAATAAATGAACTTAAAAAAATTTAATAATAGGTACATGTATGTCTGAAAGGTCATACAGAAATAATGTTTTTATAAAACAAGTTATTCAAAATATATTAAGGCTGCTCTAGTTTATAAAAAAGATGAAAAAAATGAAGATTTATACAAATTGTCTCTTATTTTCTTTTAAATCTAAATTCTCATCTCTGGCATTTACTGACAGTGAGACATCTGTAGCCTTTTAGAATCATAAATTTATGCTCCTCAAATAATTTTCTCCCCAAACCTTTGAACAAAAAACTGGATCGTGACTAAAATTAGGGACAAAGGAAGAATATTAACATCTGGTAACCTGTTGATTTATCAAACTTTGACTTTTCAAAAAATATACTTTCAGTATTTAGATAATTTGAAATTTTTATATTGTTTCTAAAAACTATATTGAGTAGGAGTTCAATTATTGGACGATGTGGCCTATTTTTCAAAAACAAATTATAACTAAATATTCTAGAAACAATCTTAGAGGGCATCTCAGACTCTGATTTAACCTAGAATAGTTACCATGTGGCAAGGCAAACGATGGTCATTTATTTTAGTTTAATGTTTGGTGCTCATTAGAAAAGTATACTTTTTTTTCATTATTTCCAATATTTTTAAATGTAAGCATCTTCTTCTTCCCCAATTTAAGGAAACATAAAACTGATCATGAATTGAAAAATACTTAAAGCACTAGCATTATGAATACCTTGGGTCAGCAAAACAAAGCACATTTTCACATATGTCTAGACTCACAGAAGGTTAAAGGTAAAATAAATAAAACACAATTCCCTCTTTTGGGCAGATTTTGAGGAAGTTTATATTCTTACAGTAAGGGAAAAAATGTGATTGTATTGAAAATAAATTTCAGGTGATATATAGCTTCCTGTTCTTGAGGACGTTTGATGGATCATTAGGAATCTGGCAAGTCTCTACTTACAGACATTTATTGTTTTAGCCACATAAATTATAATTATATAAATAAAACACACCTGAGATTCTTTAACCAGTAAATTAAAGATGGCATGCTGAGTAATACAATCCATGTTAATAAGTTAATCACAGTATTGTGCATACGAAGACTATCTTCAGCATCATTGGCAGATAAATGAAGATAGTGTACTGTAGAGTCTTTATGGTGATTTGATTTTTTTTCATTTCTTCTAGAGTGTTTGAGATTCTACAAAGCAATAAAGTAAAAATACTAAGGTATTGCATAAAATTTAAGTTTATTATTTTACTTAGAATCACTCCATTATTTAACAGCTAAATAAACACATCTATTACCAAACTGATATAAAATACTTTGCTCAAAGTATAAATTACCTTGCTCAAAAGTAATCTAAAGTGGTTATCATTATAAAACTTTTGTTCCTTTGACTTGCTATTTCCACTGCTGAGAATGTATCTTCTAAGTAATTACTTAAAATTTAAAAGATAATTTGTAACAATAAAAATGACATTTACTGACAAAGATCAATTTAAAATTAGACAATCTAATTTCTAGGTTCACTTATCTTAAAATTATTTAAATTCATGACATCTTTTTTTAAACACTGTAAAATCCTAACTTAAAAAAAAACACAAAACAATTTTTTTTATTCCCTCATGTTCTTTTATATTAAAGTGATATAGAGCTTTGAAAATAAAACTTACCACAGTCTGGCTATTTTTAAAAGTTGCTAGGCTGGCTTGCAGATGAACAATCTAAGAAAAAGAAAAAACTGTTTAATTTCACTTTTATTTTGAAACAAAAAACAACCATTTTTATTACAATTGAGAAGTATTATAATCTGAAATTTAAAGAAATCTAGAAAACTAAAAACACACTTAAACATTTACAAACAGTCTTTCAGAAAAGGTAAATAATAACTACACATACTTGCTATCATGGATTAAAAAACAGAAAAAAAAATAAGAACAAATTTTCAGAGTATGATAGGGCCAGGATATATTGTTATACCTCCTATATTCTGTGAGACTATATTTGAATAATGCTTTGCTCTAGGAGCTTCATGTCCTGTGAGTAAAATGTTTGATTATCTTCATTATAGCATAAGGAATTTAACATGTTTCACACATTCCACATCACTGAAAATCTGAACTTGGTGAAATGTTTATAAGAACCTGAGAAAATCTTTTAATTTGCTATGTTTGCTTAAGCTAAGTATTTGAGAAAATTTTGCTTACTGGATCAATTATTTGAGACATCCAATTTGAAAAGCTAAAAATATCATATTTATAAATCAAAGTAGTAAACAGATTTTTCTGATAGACAAAATTCCTTTGGAAAACTGAAAATAATGTGTATGTATTAGTGTTAAAAACAGACATAAGTCAACTTTGTTTAAAAAAAGAAAAAAAATATGATCCATTCTGTTATCAACCGTCTCTACATGAGCCTCATGTGGAGAGTATGCAGTTGTATAACCTAGATTTTCCTGCAAAGCTGTCAGCCTTCTTGGAAGTGTTTTTTGGTTTCCCAGTAAAATTATCAGACTATTTTATCCTTGCCTTCTGATTCTCCAGCAACATCTGTTAACATTCTACATTATCTCAGTACATTTGATAGCTTGATCCCACTGACATAATTTTTTGTTTACTACCCATGTTTAAAGAGGTGTGAATAAAAACTGCTCTAGTAAAATATTTTTTAAAAAGCTAACATTACTTGTAAGAGCAAGAAGCAATGTGAAACAGGTTATATCTTCTTCCCCCTTTTTTTAAATACACTAACCAAACTCAGATTAATAATTTCAGCTTTACAGTGAACTACGTATTTTAAATAATTAAGATGTTTAAAAAAGCCTTTTACACTTAAGCCTGTTAGAGAATAGAAGGTTACTACAGCTGTAATTCAAATTTTTGTTAACAACAGCAAAGGAAATTCTATGCCTGCCTGACCCAAAGCCCAGCCATTCTGACTTCATGATGTGACATACCTTAAACACATAATAAAGATAAGTAAGAAGTATGGCAAATGCTCCACAAGTTGTCCAACTAACTATGATCAAAACAATGGTCAAAAAGGGCAAGTCTAGTGATATCATCTTGATATCTTTAGGAAGTTCAGGGGGCCTGGAAAAAATAAGAATAAAGCTTTTACAAGTATATTAACAGTTACTTACATGGTCACATATAAGAAGAAAACAATTCAGTACTCTGCCAGGCTTTTCTGCTTATTAATATGCAAGTACCATAAGGTAAGCAGTAAAATGTTTTTTCATAAAGGCAAGGGATGACACATATTTGATTGTAAATTCTGTAATACACTGTGATAGCTCCTCTTTCACTTAGATACACTATGGCTGATACTAAGAAAAAAACATTGCTACAAATAATCATTAATTATAGGCTCTGTGCCATGTATTTCTGATCTTGATTAAGAGGAAAAACAGTTTTCTATTTCTTAAAGTCTTGAGATCACTCAGACAATGTGATGCTAGTAGTGTCTGAAGCATCTCAGAAGGGTGAAGGAAGAAGGCAGACCATAATCCCCTCTGTGACAGTATATCATATAATATGTCTGGTGAGGAGCAGTGGCAATGGAAACTAGGTCAGTGGTTTATCAGAAAAGCCTACCAGTAACTTCAAACTTTGTCTATGGGCCTGTAATAAAACTCTAGGCAATGTTTTTGGAATTTTTATGCATTTCACCTAATCTGATCTTAAGTATCTTGACTGGAATCTATTGCCCCCAAGTATCTTGACTGGAATCTATTGCCCCCAGGTTTGACTGAAAGTTAGCATATAAAAGCACTGCCAGAGAAACACTTCTTCCTTGGAAAGATTTACAGCCATGAACATTAAAACTACTTCTGTAATCTGTCAGTATTTTTTTTAAGTAATGTCAACCCACAATATGTGGCTCTAACTCATGACCCCAAGCTGAAGAGTTACACACTCTACCAATTGAGCCAGCACAACATCCCTCTGTCAAACTTTTTTGATTAACTCCTGGCATTAAGGTCTAACTCAAATATAGCATTTATCTTGCGATAATATATTTTTAACAAAAGTTTTATTTAGATATAGCTTTGAACATTAATCCATGTTTTTCTAGTCATACATCTTTCCTTAGAAATTACAGTTTAGTGAAAGCAAATTAATATTGAGGATCCTTATCAAAATATAATTTTTTCCTTAAGAGCAATGAGAAAGCTTTTGGTCATTCTTTACCTTTTCAAAGCTAGCCACAATGAAGAAAGGAGTCTCACAGATGTAGAAGAAAGTAGACCACCCCAGTAGGCAGTACATGTTCCAAACAGAAAGAGAATCAAGGATACAAGGGGGAAACACATACTCTGACTAGTTAAAACGATGGCATCTAATTCTGGCAACAATAACACATCCCATAATTCCTTAAACCATTTATATCTGTGGATAAAAGAAAACATACAATAAAAGCAAAAAAAAAAAATCAACAACTTTTAAATATTTAATGTCTGAGGTGTTTGACCATTTACTACAGTCCCCAAAGTTCAATGATACTCAACTCATAATTATACTGAAAAACACATTTCAATTCCTTGTAGAGAAAAAGTCATTTATCTTCCAAGTAAGTCTACTGATCTTCAAGGATCTGAATCCTGAGTCTCAATATAACTCCACTGCTCTCTATTGATCATTGTAATGAAGTAACAAGTGATCTTTTTTTAGGTTAGAAAACCAACAATTGTTATGACAGAAGAAAAGAGATCTAAGTATATTGCTTCTTAACTAAAAAACCCACAAAATGTGAATAAATTAAAAAAGGAATGTTACGTGTGGTAGAGAGATCCAAAATATACTTGTATGGGAAGAAAAAGTGATCCGAGACATCATTTCATCAATACTCTATAATGGTTTGTGTTCATGAATCTGGGATACTCAGAGATCATGGACCATGTACATCCATTTGCAAATGTTAAAAGTCTGGTATATTTACAGACTAAGTTTCTACAATTGATACATATATATATATATATATATA